CCCCCCCCCCCCCGGCCCTATTCCAGCCGTACTAACCACGACACTCGTCAACTTCTCGCGATTGATCCTACTTGTCTTTCTCTTGCGGCGGCATTCAGTAGTCTGTTTCTTGGGTTACCCGACTCGGGAGCGAGTGGCGATGCTTGGGGAGCCGACGACACTCCTCGACTTGATGATTACTTCCGCGGGCAGGTGTGGTGCAGTACTCACCACTACTTTTGGTTGCGGCTCTCTAATTGTTTTGTTTTTTTAAGATGCCCCTGGACACAATGATCCCGTCGACATTTTACTTCATGTGGAGGACCGAACAACTCTTCTTCTTTCTTTCGTTAGCGAATACAGCAACCACGATGTCAGCAGTCCGTATTGAGCGTTCTAAGATCGTCCCTCCACGTGGCCCGCAACCTGCCGTTGCACCCCATACCCCCGTCAGGCTACCGCACCCCCCTTGGAGGGGCAGCTTTTGCCGCCTCCTTTCGCCGGAGGGATGGACGGATCTCCACTATTCCCGTCTCCCCCTCTAGAGGGCAGGGCGCTGTACGGACTAAGCACGTGGAGTTTTGGAAGTGGTTCGGGTGGTGGCGGCAACGGCGGCAGCGATGACCACGAGGCTGCACGAAAGCCATCAGCGGTAAAGGAGAACATTAATCTACCACGCATATGACGATTTAGCCATGGGGCTTAGACTGCTCTTCTCGGTGATAATATTTTATTGCACAGTAGCCACACTGCAGCCGTCCGTGTCGATGAAACAGTCGGGGATGTAATTGGAGACAGCTGAAACTAACTTCATATGGCTGACATATGTCGACACAAGCAGTAAGCCAAGTCCTACCCAGCACCATGCCGCATCATCCTTTTGCGCTCAGCCTGAGCCCGCCTCGTAAGCCGTTTCTGGGATGTACCTCGTACATGGTACTGTTTGAAAAACCGCTCGTATGACTTGTCCGTGTTTGTCGTAACCATTGCCTGCTCTATCATCACGTATTTCGTCCCGGGTGAGCCCAGGATACACAAATAATGGCCGTGGAAAAGCACAGAGAGGGGTGCATAGACGGCGTGCCTGCCCATTTCCTCCTTTTGCTCACGCTTACCGTGCTCCCGTTTTTAACTCGACGCCATGTTTTACGTGTGAATGCGTTGCTTGCGACAGGGGTGGAACAGTAAGGACGGTAAGCCCACTCCGGCAGAGAGTTTCTCCTATCACGGTGCTAATGGTCGTACGAAGGCCGATGACGTGGACAACAGGAGGGGAGACCAACAACAGCAGCAGCAACAGCAGCGAGGAAACCAAAGAGGTTCTTTCCGTATGGAAAGGCCTGGCGTCGTCAGCACCAGCACCACCAGCAGTGCTACCACAGCAACTGCTGTCCGGAGAAATTCCATTCCTCGGCGCGGAAGGTGAGGCACCAGGCTGGGCCGCCACAAACCTGTATTGCGCGTGCTGGACACACTGTGATTCCAAGACACGTCGTTTATTTTTCGGTGTTTGGGTGCCAATGTATGACACTTGCGTGCTGTGTCTCTAGGCGGTGGCACGGTGTATGTATCGGCGAAAATACATGAATCCATACTTTTTACCCACACCCGATCATGACCCGTAGATCTAACATTAGGTAACCTCGCGGTCCTAGGTGTTCTTTCCTGCAAGTCCCATCCCTATCTCCATTCCTCTAAACTTACAAGCAGGTTCTTGGTTGGGGCGAATCAAGCTCATGCCCAGAGTCGAGACCAGCCGCCTGAGCGGTCTTCAGAGATGGGCGAGGACGAAGAGAGAAGAAAGAGAAAGATGAGCAATTCCACCACCACCAACTTAGTTGACGACCTTGGACCAAGCGGAAGCATCACCCACGGAGCTTCAGGGCGTCGTCGGGGAAGTTGTAACGGTGGTAGAGGTGTGGGAGGGCACCAGAAACGGCATCAGGAGTGGCTCGATAAGTTTGGAGAGGTAAAATGGTGGGGTCGGGACAATGTTCACGTTCTGCAGCCGTCACTGGTGCCTGACACACTACCTCTAAGATGGGGTTTTGACCATGATGTATATACTCTGTGTACCCGTCAACCAGTCACTACAACCGCCGTGGAAAACTGTGTAAGACAGCGATGACGCGTACAGCAGCAAACCCTTTCAACAGATAAATTTCGTTGCTGTACCTGCCATGCCCTTGCTATCTCCTCCCTGAGCTTGTCGGACTTCACCAACATGAGGACGAGACGTGATGGCTGAGGAAGTTGGAGTGGCAGGTGTAGCGGCTGGACTCGCGCCACCCCGCCCGCCTCCAAGCAACAATCAACCACCCACCTCTCTGTTTTGCCAAACGACGTTTTCTCACCTTTTTCCCTTCCCCGTACTACGCTGCAGGAAAAGCGGATGGAACGCCAAGAAGAGGAGGCTAAGGCGCAGCGTCGTGAAGCAGCCCGCCGACGCACGCGCGATGTTCTGCTCGAGAGGGCAAAGCAACGCCTCCTGGCCGTCGCCGCTGCCGCTGCCGGTGTTTCTGGCGCTGGTTCATCCGCGACCACCGGTATTGGCCTTCTACCCGTACTTTCTGACGTCTCCAAAATCCATAATTTGGCCCTTGATCGGCATCTCCTACATCGCTGCTACCAGTCGCACGACCACGTGTCACTCCACCGTTGTAGCACCCAACACCTGATGTGCACAGCGCCATGAACCACGCTTCCAACACATCTGCCTCCTCAATACCGAGCCCCTGCCGCTTCCGTGGATGTGACCGCGCAGGCCATGACTTATCAGCAGACGAAGGTGGTGACGGCGTGAAAATCTCAGCAGCGGCAAGGGAGGCATCGCACCAAGCTCGGGGTGGGGCGGGGCAAGGTGTCCCGACGCCGACGGCATCATGCGAGGGGGGGGCAGGGGTAGCGGTAGCAGCGGCGGCGGCAATGACGATGGCCGCCATGTCGGCGGGGGTTCCGCTTTATGCCCAGGAGACCTGGGCGGTCCGACACGGCAAGGTTTGCAAAGGGGATTACAGCAGTCGGGTGTGCCACAGGCCCCGTCCGTACTCTTCGGCATTCGGAATAGAGCGCGAGGTGCTGAATCGTTGTAGGCACTAGTGGTACAGCGCGGATTGGGAGCAGTTCAAAGTTGTCGAGGGTAGCGTGCGCTTTGTGCGTCCGATGTTCAATGGGAACGATGATGTAGGAGATCCGAACAAGGGCGCGCGAGCGTCGCCCTCCTCCACCAATTTTCACAGGAAAAGCCTAAAACAGATTATTTGGGGCCGAAAAAATGTACATGCCTGACAAATGTTTCGAAGCCTAAATGTGTAGCTCGACCTCAGCACTTTGCTTGCGGTTGACATATCGGACTTGGAAAAGGATCCCACCAATGCATAAACCTAGCCGCAGCTACAACATCTCGTTATAGCTACACGCCAGACGATATTTCGACGATAGTGCTTTTTCTCCCGCATTTCAACGCGAGAGCAGGTGGAGCGAAAAGGGAACAAGGACGACGTCACGCCCGAAGAAAGAAAGAAGCTCGAAAAGGTAGACACCACGATTAGAGGATCGTGTCTCTCTATGTGTATCATATCGGTCAGATACGGCTAGGACGAGCTACGTAGTTTCGTGCGTGCCTTGTTTCGAAAGGAAAGAAATGATGTCAACCGTAAGATACGGATGAAGAACGAATCGGACCAAGCCCCACTTGCCAAAACATCGCCGCCATGCCTTCGTAAACCAACGGTGTCCCAGCTTTGTCAATTTGTTGACTTCGGCAGCATGGAGTTTAATCAATACTGAAAAAACGTCTACGACGGATATTTGTGACCGATCAAGTCGGGGCCAGTTCTCACACGCTCATATCAAGAGCTCCTTGACTTAGCTGGACCACTTGTCCCGGTGGTAGCACGCTTCTCGCCTTGCAATGAGAATAAACCCAACCAGGAACAAGACCACCCGCGGTTTTGAAAACTGTTGTAAGATTTTGTGTTCACATGTCACTCATCAAAGTACCTGGTACTGTATTTTATTCGCTTATGGCACTTCACATCTAACGCGTGAAGTAACCACGTGCTGTTTGTGTGCGGCGTCGAACTTGGGACATGTTTTTTTTCCGGTTTGATTTTCCAGGAGAGGTTCGAGCATATCGCAGCAACTCGGCGGCGGCAAAAAGAGCACCACAAGCGCTTCCTGGCCGCTCTCAAGGCCAAAAGGGTTCAAGACGAGGTCAGCCACCTTTCGGCATTGATACTAGAGGAAGTAGTTCCAGCTGATGGTGCATGTTGAAACGAATGTATGTAGAGAAGCGTATTAATAAAAACTAGGTGTTGCAGGTTATCGGCAAGAAAAGTTGCTGTGTGTGTGCTTTTTTGTTCCCGCAATTGCTGACGCTTAAAGTCTCCACGACACAACGCGTTGTTCCAGCCTTTGCTCTCAATACCACCCCCACAACATGAACAAGCACAAACCGCGTCTTGGAATCCGCTTCATGTGTGGGTCCTTTTCTTTTCCCTCATCATCCCAGGAGGATCGGCTTCTTCACGAGCGCAAGGAAGCCGAAAAGCGGTGTAACGTAAAGATGTGGGCGGAACGAAGGCTCCAGAAGGTACGACCGTTCTGGTCATAGGCCTTAAACACGTGTATACTACGCTGGATCGCTGGATGACCTGGCACCGGTCGGGCAAGTAGCCCGACATCCCTCACAAGAGACCAGCCAAATAGTTAGAACAACCGTCGCAAGTTGATAAAAACACTGACGCACCAATCTATCTAACGGTGCGTTTTCAAGGGCGGCCCATCTACATGTTGCCTTACTGCTTGCTGCTACTGCTGCTACGGCTGCGGCTGCACCCACCCTGCTGCTCCAACTATGCAACTGACTCGTTGCAAACCAACAAAATGGTCATGTCCGGTTTTGGGGGGGGGGAATCAGACGCAGAAAGCTGCCGGCGGTGGCGATACTGAACACCTGTCTTCGGCAGCAGTAACAACAGCAGCCGGTCACAACAAGTCGGTGGGCGGCCGCGGCAGTAGCGAGGGCGGCGACGGGGCCAGAGAAGGGGTATACGGGGAGGGAGCAGGGGCGGCAGCTACCGAAGGCGTTGCCGGAAGTGGATTGAACGCGATACGAAGCGCTCACTCGCGGAGGTGGGTCTTTCTCGGTGCTGGACGTCGGGTAGGTTGCGCACAGAAACAACTGATACAGGCTCGGCCAAAAGGGACCGCACGACGTGGTGAAGACGCGAGGGGCAAGGGGGACAAAAGGCGGGTTGCTTCTGGCGCTCGTTTCCGTGAGGGGTTGTCGTGTGATGTACCTGTGTATTGTCTTCGTCGGCATGGATCATTTCGCCATGTGGTAAGTTCATATTTGGTGAGACCTGCTGCGCTAGCGCTGAGATCATTATCTGCACAGATGGGAATTTTCTTGAAGCGGTTGATCGGAGCACAGAGTGCCAAACGTGGTGTGGGTGGGTTGCTTTCAATACTTCACGAATTTACCTCTTCACGTTCGAGGCGTATGGGGGCGAAATAGACAGCAAGTGACCTCGTTTTGTACATCGTACTAATCCGGAGCTCTCTCCCAACGTGGTTCCGAGCGTTATCCCATGTTTCCGTGTTTGTTGTCGATCATGCCACCACAATATTTGTACCACATGAAACGGAATCGATCGAGCAGATATATGTTGTCGTGAGGTTGGCTTTCCCCTCTAGAATCAGACACACGTTATTTGAAACCGTCCGAGTAACCACGACCACAAACCACACTGTCCACAACCTTTGAAATCCTCCCTCATACGCCCCTGGTCCTAAAACCCCTGGAACGTGCGTCTTACACCAATTCCGAACTTTGTGTCGCAACAACAACAGCGAGAATCAAGAAGGCGAAGGAGGAGACGCGCAAGCCTCAACCACCATGACTGGCTCAAGCGCTGAGGAGCTTGAAAAGACAGCGAGGGCGGTGGAGGGTTTGGACAAGGAAGAGAGACGGCGGCGTTTCTTTGAGGTGAAATTGGCCAGGGAGAAGGCGCAGCGGCACCTGGAGAGCCTCGTAAAGAAAAAGAAGGAGAAGGAGGACGAGGTGATTTCATTTCGATGTTTGTTGTTGGTGGACTGATTCGAAACTTCTGAGCCGTTTGCATTTCTGTCGTCATTCATTCACGTATGATTCTAATTGTTTATCCACACCTTCAGCGCGCAGTTCACCGCAGGTACAAACAATATTCTATCGTTTGGACAACAACGGGAGAGTACTTGACAAACAGCACTTTTTCATGCGTCGCATGAATTTAAAGGCGTGATCGATGCACGTGTACGTGACACACAGGAGGAAAACGCCAGACGAAGGCAGACAAGAAGGATGCGAATCCTTCGAGACAAGGTTCTCTTCATGGCCAAGGAGCTACGGCAGAGAGGCCATCCCTCCAAGGCCGGGCAACGCCCAGAAACGGGGGCTGGAAGCAGCGAGGTGGAGGCATGAGTAGGCACATTCCAGGGTCGACCCCAGGGGGATAGATACATCCTCCTGCCATCTCCCGAACGCCCACTCAGGTTTTGCGAAGTAGTTGTGTGCCTTTTGAGTCTCGCGCGAAAGTCTTTTTCTCGCAGGCCCGTGGTCATGGGCGCGACAACCGGGGGGAGATGTTGCTGTGGTACCATTCAAGTTCCGAACATGGGCGGTGATGCAACGTGAATCTCTTAGATCGCGCAGAGATCCAGTGTTGCCCCGGTTGCCACATGTGCATGGAAGTACTGCAATTTCCGTTGTGGGATGAAGGCTTGTATATACCAGTACGGTGACGGGGCCCCGCCAGCCTCCCATCCCCACACCTACCCACCTCCCATCTCCCACTAGGCACTTCACTCCAAGAGGGGGCCAACTGAGCTAAAATCACGGCACCGCCCACCGACAATTACAACACGCTCCCGCTAGCAACTTCAATCGGCCCCCCGCTCCCCCCTCCGCTCTGTCGGGGGTCCAGTGCGTCCTTCTCGATCGTGTTGTTATAACCGAATATCACACTATGACCCCATAGTGACATGGAATGGTACCATTTGCACGACGCAACACAGGAAGAAAAGAATGGCAACGGCAACACCGCCAGGGTGGCGGAGCCACCGAGGTTGACGGACGAGGAGCTACAGGCGAGCGTGGAGCGCCTAACTCAGCAGCGCAAGGGCGGAGGCGTGATCACAGCGAGCGCCCGCGACTTCAACGACTGGAAGCGGAAGCACAAGGTTGCCCCCGAAACTAAGGTACACCGCAAATATAGCGCATTGACCATCGAGGGACGTGTTCAAGCACTGGTGGATTAGAAATACGGTGGATGGATAAGTATGCAAGGACGTCAGGCGATTCTCAGACCCTCCTCCCCTCCCGTCTATTGCGGGCCAAGCCTTCCTTCCCTTGGTTCGTTCGGCAATCGATCAGTACGTAAAGCGCTCTTCCAGAGATAGGCGTGGCGGTCAAGAAAATGAACAAAGAAATCAGAAGGCGGGTCGTGCTTGTCCGCTTGTGTGTTTGCCACGTTTGTGAATTGCATAGGAGGTTTTCAAGTTATATACGAATCGCAAGCATCGTGCAGCAAGTACACACGTTCGTTGTTCGGTATTCCACCACCGTGTACAAACGCACTTGTTCGTCAGGTGTTCGTGATGACGGGATGGTACCCATGCGTAAAGAAGGCCTTGATCGAGAGGGGATGGACGCAGAACCATGACCGAGACTCTCCGTTCTTCGACCTCAAGTGGACCCTGCATAGCCAGGACATCCGCACCACGGACATAGAGCCGTGGCAGCTGTGCAACCACTTTTTCAAGGTACTTACGGTTTTTGAGGCTCATGCCTAAAGCTTAGCATGGATAACAAGAGCCAAAGGTAGCCGCACAACCGTTTCTCCTGTGATCCTACAACACCTAGCTACACAAAGTGACTCCGCTGCACATTTCCTGTTCCGAAGCCCACGATAGAGCCCAACACGTCCCTTTGTTCCTACCGTCCTGTCTCCCTCCACCGACCGATGTGCCGACTGATGCACTTGTCTCAGAACGTGGCCATCACGACCAAGGCGGGCCTGCTCGGAAACCTTCGCAACCTCAAGTGGTTCGCTGACTGCGACTGCAGCGAGATCCTGCCGAGGGGCTACGACCTCTCCATCGACACCGATGTGCTGGTGAGATGGCCATGGGTCGAGGCACGGAAAGGACACCGCCGAAGATCATTAATTCTTCCGTTCATGTTCACGCATGCCATATCGTACCCCGAGGCAAAAAAAAACTAGTTTTCTCACGCGACACAAACCTGGGGATACTCCTTGAAATCCTGTTTTTTGTTTTTAGGCGTTTCTGGACGACTACTGTGCCACGGCCGCCGAGTCTCTCCTGAAGCACGTTTTCCTCAGGGCAAAGGGCCGCGTTGCGCTACGGCGTCTCGGCTACTCTACTATCGGTTGTCAAAAAGCGGAGACCAAATCATCCCCCCCGCTGGGCGGCGATGGGGGCATGGGTAGCAACGAAAATGGCGTTTACGACGACGAAGACGACCCGTTCGACGACAGCAGCGTCGACGACGAAAAAGAAGGAGAAGAAACGGTCCCCAAGCCACCGCCACGATCGGGATCGTCGGCCTCTACGGTCTCGCCCAAGACAGCTACGCCGACAGTCGTGTCCACGACCGGTGCAACAGCTCCGCCGTCGGTTTCATCCGTCGATGAACGCGTGACCACTCGAAATGCCGCCGCCGACCCGGGCGGTGCCATGACAACACCGCCAGAATCAGCACGAGGAGCAAAACCATTAGCCGTAGCAGAGGGTGCTGTTTCACCCACGAATGATGGTGTGGTGGGAGGTGCGCAGACGGAATCACGAGCGGCGTGCGAGCAGACGGCCGATCTCGATCCTGTCTCTGCTGCTGGTTCTATTGTTGCTGCTAATGCTGCAACGCCTGCTGCGGCTCCGAGCAAGCCGGTTGCGGTTGAACCGGTCGGAACAGCAGGGGTAGGAACGCCGATGACAGCACCGCCACCATCAACCCAAACAGGACTATCATCGCTAGTACCCGAAGATTCGGAGCAGGGCCTTCGAAAACAGCATCAACAGCCTTCCGTGCCCGTCCCACCCCCCGCGGTGACGACGACGACGACGACAGGATCATTGTCATCGTCGATGATAGGAAAAGAAGCCGGACGAGAGGATGATGCTTCGACCGATCAGAAAGGCCGGGCTGCTCAGGGGACAGACGGTACTATCGGGAAGGGCGACGGAGGTGACGGTGGCGGTGGCGCGAAGTTGCGAAGACAGATGCCGCCGGTATCCGCTCGAAGGTGAGGATTGTGAGCGATATCTCTGTGTAGAGGGTGTCAAGATGTACATCGTTCAAACACCTTAACAATCCTTGTCCTCAGCTAGCTAGATATGCGACTCAGGGGAACTCTTCCCGCTCCCGCGTGGGCTGTTTCGCATTTTGCTGCCAGCACGAGGTACCTAAAAGCTGGACGAAGCTAAACAAGGTTTACGACCTATGAGTGGCAGATGAAGAGCGACAAGATGCTCAGTATGTCCTTTGTTTGTTGCCAATAATCGACCGAAACTACATGTAGGAAAAGTGCAATTGCCGCACAAGCCGCTATCTTTACCACCCGTGTCATCTGTCATCGGATCGGCAAAAGAGGCTAGAATACGCAGTACTTCTACACACGTCGTAAACCTGTGTTGTAGGCGTGTGTTGACGCAGAACCAAATACGCATAGTCTGTTCGATCGATCTATTGCCGACCATGAAAAACCACAAGCTGTGTAAGGGATGGGCGAATCAACCTCTGTCACTCTTCAATTCCCTCGTTATATTTGTCTTTGGTGGCAGACGCCCATGGGAGCCGGAAGGGGCAGGGATCCAAGTCAACGCAGAGATCATCGGTGCCGCTCTGGCGGTCTGCCGAAGGCGACACGTGCGTCCCCGACCACCCCTGTTGCTTATACCCTACTGTTATATATCTGTATCGAGGGGGGGCCGGTTACCGTAGGGCGGGAAACCACTGCGAGCGACGATTGGACGTGGTGTGTAAACATAAACGAGACTACAGACCGGCACAAAGAGTGACACAGAGAAGTGCGGTACCGCTCCAAAGTCCGAAACGTGCCTCGGTCGTCTCTCGGTGTACGTGCGGCGGAGGGGTGCTAACATTCACATGTACAGTTTGCCATCGAGCAGGTAAACGGTGTCGCAGTTTTCCGCGCCGATGGACACTACGGCTGTTAGACGCCCTAGGATCGTGAAATATAGAGACATCATTTACTTGAAGGACAAAGAGGATAGCCCACGATGTACATGCCAGCAACGGATGTGTGTGTATTTGGCAATCCCACCACCACCAACGCGCGAAAATGAAACCCAAACACACGCATCCTCCCTCCACCACCAGTATGTGGTACACCACACCGACCCTGTCCCCCGTGCGTGGCACACGAAACGAAACGGCCCCCCTCGCCCCTAAAACATGTACACGAAAACGACAAACAGGCTCGCGTAGGAGAAGGAGAAGGCGGGTTGGACTCCGGGGGACCAGCCGAGGCCCTGTGCAGCGAGCTAGAGTGGGAGCTGATTGGGCTTGGCACAGGAGGGGGGGCGCCGCACCCGGATATGCCGGGGCTGTACAGGCCGCATTCCCTCCCTTCCAGACCTGCAACTCCACTAGAGGCTTTCATCCAGACTCAGGCCGAGAAAGAAGTGAGACGGAACCCGAGTTGTGGAATGTTGTGCCTTCACTCAACGGAACCTTGGAAAGTGGTGTGTGTGAAATTCATGCGCGCGTGTAAGCATTTACAAGCGGGGTATGCAGGTGTCCTAGCAAGCTGTATTTCATTGCCGGACGGAGTTCTTGTTGTCTTGTGCGTGATTGGTGTGAGGTCGTGCTCCCCGATGCTGGTACTTTCAGAGTTTTCCATGTTGATATTCCGCCGACCCCTCCTTTCCTCCTCGCCCGATCATGATCAGCGGTCTCGCTCACCTTCACCTGACGTCTCCCCATCCCGACCACCACCACCACCACCAACAACAGGCGTCCTCTAAAAGTGGCACCCGAGAGGGATGGCGAAGGCAAAAACAACAAGACGACCTCCGCGCGGCGTGTACAGAGAGAGTCCGGACGGTCGCCCCTTTGGGGGACGCCATGCTCCAAGAGGTTGAAGCCGTGCTCGAGGCAAGGAAAGGAGCTTTTGTTGGTGTATTTTTCGATTCTTGTATTGGCTTGACGGGGGGTTAGCGGAATGAAGGGTGAGGTGAAGGCGGATGGGGCGGGACCCTTACTCCGTGAGGGTTGTGCGCTATCATGGAGTAGCTAGTGCGACTAGGTGTTTTTTCCCTCTGCTTGTCCCTCCGCCACCCGCTCGGCCGCGTCGTGGGAGATCGGACTAGTTTTCTCCGTACCTTAGGACAGATCGAGGTACCTCTACAAGGATACATCCCGATCCCTTTTGATGCAACCCATGATTATGACCCCGTCAGCGGTTCCGTATGTCCACAGACAGACATCGTCCAGCATGCCGAATATGGGATGCCCAGCAACACATGTAAACATTTTGTATTCAGCTCACCGCCTCAACCGAGCCGGTTATAATTCAGAACCCAGGGCGCTTTCTTCCACGTCTCTTCCATTCACCCTAGTATCGCCCTGCTTACGGAGCTGGAAAATACTCCAGCCACACAAAAGGCGTTTTGCGGCTGGTCACGGGCTGAAACCATCGTTTCCCAAAGTTGTCTTGTATTTTCACCATGTCTCTTCCACAAAAACACTGTCACTGTCCAGACGAAGGTGTAGTGTTTCCCATCACCCAACACTACAACTTCCCCTCTATCTGTTGCCTGCACATCCTGCTCCAAACGCAAATAGAGAGCGGCTATGGCTTCGCGTTCGCAGTTCGACCTCAACGGGGACTTCTGCCAGAACATGTGGATTGTCAAGCCGGTGCGTGCCCGTGCGTAGTTTCCACATGGTCCGAGGATACTTCACCAAAACACCGTTTTCACGAGCCACCTAGAAGGCAATGAACGGCTGTTGTACCTTTTTAGTGAGTAATCGTTGTACCTGCTTAGATCACACAACGAAGTATCAATCGATAGTCAGTCACAGCCAACCAATTGACGCAAGTTGTCAAAGACCTCTTCGCAACTCCATGGGTCCCCCCCACGTATTTACCCCGTTCTGAACACGCCACAGGCGGCCAAGTCTCGAGGTCGGGGTATCGAGTGTTTTACGGAGTTGGATAGGCTTCTGAGCTACACGGAATCCAACCAGCCCCAGGCCGTGTCCCAGTGGGTGGTACACAAGTACATTGAGGTATGGTGTACCTTGGCGCTGGGTTTGCTTTGTAGGGAAGTGGTGGGCTTGTTTAAACGACGATGCGATTTATCAAGGGTTTGGACCACAGCCAGCCACTTTTTTTTTACTCGTTTTGCTGCTTGTAGACACGCCGAGCTGAGACTTTGTTGGAGGCGTGACGTTTCGTTCATGGTGTGCCCTCGACATCGCCGTTGCCCTCCGGTATGTGGTGATACAAGTCGTACTCCACATCGTTTCAAGAGTTACGAGTACACAGTCCACAGCTTCTTGCCGCACGGTTCATCTCGACCGCTTGTCATTGTGCCTGGGGGGCCGGGTGACGGCTATTCTGCAAGTGCAAGGCACGAAGCGCATGGCTTCGTGTTTTGAAGACAAACGGTGTGTATCATCTACCTTCGACGTGTGGGGTCCTTTGGTATACTTCAAGTTAACCGAGGAAGTGATCACGACTTTCACAGAGACTTGGATGCACCCCCTACCCCTTCCTTAGGGGACCTAAAACGTTGTACCATCCCATCTTAACGACAATTTCGATGCACCATTTCTCGTTTCAAGCAAAAGCCACGTGTGAGTTGACAGTGGCAAGCCATACAACCGCTCGCGGGAGAGATCATGATGGCATTTGCTAAGTATGAGGCTAGCGTTGTTTTTCAGCTTGAACGTGTCGCGCCCGCTCTGACTCCCGCGGGACACGAGCTCGACAGCAGGCAGTGAATGCTCGTGTCATTTGCGGTTCTACCACGCGGACGGTTCTTGCGTGTCCCTTCCGTGTTGCGTTGTCTTGGTCGCAGAACCCCTTGATCATCGCGCGGCGCAAGTTCGACATGAGGCAGTGGGTGCTGGTAACAGACTGGAATCCTCTGACGGTGTGGTTCTACGACCGCTGCTACGTTCGCTTTGGGGTCGAGGAGGTATTTTTCAAACATGTTTTCTTATGAACAAACAACCGCGGAACATCAAGAGAGGGATCAAGTTTATAGAAAAAGCAGAACCAAGAATTGCATTCCAAAAGCGGGCACGATGGTGTCATGGCGTCTTGCGCGGGTGCGCGTGCTCCCCCGATTGTGCACCAGGCGTTTGCGTGCAAACAGCATGCTCTATCTACACAACGTCCGGCTCAACTCTCTTGTACTTCGTTTTCCAAGAATGTCGATGCCGCGTCCGTCCACAAGCATCGATCGAGCTCTCCCCGAATACATACCAGTTCCGCCGTCGTGCCGTATTACCGCGTTCCCTGCCTCCGGTACCACATGCTAGATAGAGCGAACTTTGTTTTCGTTCAGGTTGTTGCGGTCCACCCGAAATTCAGGAGAATGTGCATTTTACCCAACGAGAGGAGAGTTTCTCTAAATCAATGAACTCCGGGCTGCTATCGTTACAATTGGTGTGGTTGATTTCAGGTGGGTGATTCGTGCCCCGCACCAGCAGTCGCCGCAATATACGAACCTTTCCCTACCTCGCCAAATGTGCAGTTCATTTACCATCTGTTGTTCGTTTCTTTCATCGCTATCTCAATACTATTTAGTACACGACGTCAGGCAGCAACATCGGGAACAATTTCGTCCACCTCGTGAACAACAGCATCTGCAAGAAGTCCGACAACTTCGGAAAGGTGACGACACCCGCCCTACTACACTACCGTTGCGCGCAAATTTACACACTATACATGTATTGTCAAATAGAAATGACCAAGAAATGATGCGTCCTGCTCTCTGTATCAATTTGTCTGTAGTGCATTCCGCAGTCCCCCGCGCAAGCATACGTGTGCGACAAGAGCACACAGACGAGACATGCGGCTTAAACAACGTATGTTCATGCATACCTTCATGTGTGTGTATTACAGCTTGCTCGTAACGTGTCACTGATCTCGGCCATGCATAAACTAAAATGTACGTCACAACTAGGTGTCGGTTACCGACAACGGGATTGAGGTGCACGAGCACATGTGGTCAAACGAGGTGTTCACGGCTTACGTGGACGAGGTGGCAGGGGAGGGCTGCTGGAGGAAGAGGATGCAGCCAAGGATGGAACAGATTGTCACGTGGAGCCTGCTCTGCGCCCAAGTGAGTTGCACATTTGGTTCATTCTACGGCGATTACAACCGCAAGAACAAAAGTGCACCGAGCCTCTATCCGGTGGTTGGCCTACTTTGTGAGAAAACTTGCCTGTACTTTGTTCGTGAGATTCCTCACCGGGGGTGACGCACGTAGCCATATTCGGGGATTCTTGCTCTGCACTCTGAGCTTGAAAACGAAGCAAAAAATACCCGTTCGTTACCAAAGAAGCCAGAATTGGAGCAAGTGCCTTGTTCGGGGTTAACATCTGTTTGGAACAAGAGTTCGGGAGAAAAATAACTATGACTAGCACACGCAAAGACCGTAGTTGGAACTGACTCCATTCCCCCGGCCTACATGAACGTTTAAATAAACATCGTTGTGTGTGTGGTCGGTAAGCCGATGCCTGATGGTATTGTTAACGTTTCCGCCATGTTATCTTGCTTGTTTTTAACGACGTCCAGGACTTGGTGGAACACCGCAAGAAATCTTGGGAGCTCTACGGCTACGATTTCATGGTAGACGATCAATACAAGCCGTGGCTGATAGAGATTAACTCCAGCCCTGCCTGCGACTACAGCACCAAGGTACATTCGTAGAAATCAAGCTGGACGCCGCCTTCTTTTGGGCATATCACAACATGCTCGTCGAGCGGGGAGTTGAGACTTCTGATTCTCACAGTGAAACATTGTTTTCGACGGCCGCCCCTGCTTACTTAATGAATTGACTGAGAGGCAACCGCTTGTCGTGCACGTTTACTTAGACAGTAAGGTAGCGAGGAGTAGAGGATGCATCGATGTCACTCATGGTACGGCGGCATCGGGGTTAAAAGCACGCAGTCTATGCATATGACTCCCGGCCGCCGGTCTCCTTCCGCACCGAAAGGAATTGCAAGTATCTAAAGTTCGCACCTAGTCACAAACGGACTGCCGGTTCAGCGTTTCAATCATCCCTAGGCGTGCAGAAGGCATGGACTCTATCCGCCCCTCCCAAGCCCCGCCTCTGCCTGCCTCATGCTAAAGGAAGCGGCCTCGGATCCCTCATGAACGTCTCCAACTAGCCGATCGCTGACATAGACGACGTGAAGACCGACCTGTAGCAAACCTCCGGTCTTAAAAAGTCGTCCTGTTGTTGTCCGTAGCGAGGGTGCGAACCCGATATACAAACGTCTGGACATGCTGTGGTAATATCGCTTCTTCCCCTCCGGCATTGCCAAGGTCTCTCACGCAGTTTTGCTGGGCACTCGCGTGCCTACTAACCACACTATCGCGAACGTTACTTCCAACCACAGGTAACCGAGCAGTACGTGCAGGCCGCCCTGACGGACCTCCTCAAGGTCACCATAGACCTGCCCGCGTGGGAGGCAAACCAAAGGAACAAGAATAGGAGCAGAGGGTCGCAGCCGCAAGCCTCGTCCGCTCCTTCGGCATCGGACTCGCAGACTCAGGACCAACAGCAGCAGCAACCACGAGGGGATGCGGTTGCAGTTGCGACAAAAATTGTCGCGGCCGACAGCGCAGCGGCGGCCGCCGAGAAGGAGAGGCACGAGGCCCCGACTTCCGTCGGCGGCACGACGTCATCGGCATCGGCAACACCGGCACCTGAAACCGACAGAGCAGTGAAGGCTTCGGTAACACCGGGTGGCGACAGCTGCGGGAGTAACCGGGAAGAAAATACCACTTCCGCAGGTTTGGGTGCGGAGGGTGACCCCGTTGCTGCTGAAAGGGAGGACGGGCGGGTGCAGGGGCGGAAAGGAGCCGCGGAAGGGAGAGGGGATACCCCACCCGACACCGGGCTGTGGAGGCTTTTGTACAAGGGGAGCTTTGTTCCCTTCCCCGTCGCGTCGTTTGGAACGGACCTCGCGCTCAAGGGAACTCGCATCGCACATGGCAAGCGCACGCGATCATCGCCCCGTGCCGTGAAGCTGTAACTGTAGCTGGCGACTTCTCAACACCGGTCTAGACATATTGTTTTTCTAAAGTGGTGAAGTCGTGCTCTCGAATTGTCTTCGGTTGATTTACTGCAAAAGATGTGGGACGATACACGTACGAGCGGGACTTTTTGTGCGAAGAGGACACGGCATTTATTCTTTTGGCTTGAGAGAGACTCAAGCAACCGGATGTGTCAATCGGTGAGGACGAGGCAAAAGTGCATCGGAGGAAAAGCTAGAGCCTCGTCGTACCTCCTGGCACAAGGATGGACGTCGTACACGTGTGCACCGCACTGATAATGTCAATAACACTGGATTGTGGTCTCTTGCGGCTCGGTAGAGACTTCAAGTTGTTTATTTCCTGTTGAAGGATGTACTGTTATCGGCAATGCTATTCGCTCCACCGGTGGAGTAACTTCTTAATTTCTCCAACAGGCAGATCTCTGCCCACAGAGCTCCAATCGACCTCGAACGAATTCCATCGTGTAGGTATGGCCTCAAGCATCTTAGCAAGCTATTTTAGAAGCTAAATCGGATCAGTGGGTGCAAAGACATGCTCGAAACAGGAGGGCTCCTCGGTAATCCTCTCAAACCTCCGTGCACACAGCTCTAATTTACCCGAAACCTTTTGCATTGTGTTTCAACGACCCATACCTTTCATACAAGCTATCCGACACCCCCATCCGACATCTTCGTGCAGAGATATGGTCAACGTGACAGGGGCAATAAGGGGATGAGGGGCGTTGGGGGTTGCAAGAATTTGATATGGTTTGCATGCATCGATCCCCTGGTGAACAAATCCCCCCTCCGTGCGGAGGTCATTCACGTGGGGTCAGGTTCAGTGCATGTTGTGCCCCCGCCTTTGCTGATCGGGTCTGCCCTAGAAGAGGGGAGCCTTACCCTGTGGGGAGTCTTTTCAAGTACATGACGGAGAGTACCAGACAGACAGCACAAATATCAAATATTGCCGGGTTCCTTATGCCCGCCGCCGGTCTGTCTGGCTGTGGGTCCTGGATGACCGAGGCGTGTTCTCTAAGAAACTCTCGCGATCTTGTCCGTTCAGACAGAGGCGTTGCCATTGAACATCCTGATAAACCAAAGCAGCGAACGCGAAGGCAGAACGCGCGTGTTCCCGTCCGGACCCGAACGGCGAAATGTGTGGGGTTGGTTGGAACTGAAGCCAACGCGTCCAACATTCCTCTCTCTTTCTCTCCCTTTGTTCTCTTTAGCAATGAATGATGGCAAGTCACCAGCCGTCGAATCCCAACATACCGCCCACCGTGGCTGATGCCACCCGTCGTATAAGGAAACAAACCACAGAAGTACTAGTGACCGTTCTTCAATACCAGCAAACCACCCCCACACTCTTGTCTCTTCTCCTGGTCGTTGGAAATAATAAATAGTGCATACGGGTGATGTCGTCCACTAGTACGACTGAGGCATCAACGGACCTCCACTCGGTTTTCCTTTTCGTCAACGACGACAGCTCGAAACCAGTCCCAAGGGGCACCTTGGGCCGCAGCGCTTCTCAAAACCTAAACAACTAACCCCCTCTTTGTACCCCCGAGGCGTTGCCTCCTTATCCTACACCCCTGCCCCTCCCCCTCCTCCCGTCTCATCGTCATCGAAAAGCCGCACGATGCCCTCCTCTTGGCACGCCAAACCCGTCACCGGACACTCCCCGTGCTCTCGGACGTGCGCGGAAAGACACCCGTAGCAGAAAACGAACCCGGACGCGGCGCACAGGGCCGGGTTCACCCGCGCCCCGCCGCAGGCGGGACACGCCCCCGAGTCGGATGGAACTCCGCAGCCCCCGGGCGCGGCTAGTGGGGGCTGAGGCGGAGGGGGCGGGGGCGGAAGTTGGGATCTCCTCCACGATGAACCCTCCTGGTGCGTTGTTGGAGGGACGGAAGGGTACCGTAAGGTTGCGGGTTAGCGCACGGTCCGGGGTTTCCGCACGGTCAGGAGTCGTCGCACAGGGGTGCGATGAAAATTAAATGGCATCATAATTATTTAATTCGATTTCCGCACAGGGTCCGACGTTACCGCACAGGGGTGCGATGACTCGCAACCTACAGTAGGGTAGTAGTGGAGTGCGAGCGATTTCGGGGCAACTTTACCCGTGCAATTATGCCAGTGCTGGCCACGGCAACTTTCACCCCTGCAACCATGCCAGTGCTGGCATGTAGCTCTGCTGTATGGGTAGGTAGGTCATCGTCGCATAGTGTGAAGGGAATGCAAACGACGCCACACCATCACACCACAAAAAGCGCAAATACCCCGAGCCTGACTTCGTCAACGAGAGGACCGGAGGCAAGAAAGGGAGCTACCCCATGAGATTCAAACTGAAAGCAGCCGCATTCACGCGAGTCCTTTGCGAGGATGGTCAACCAGTGGGAAATTCCGGAGCGGCGAAAGTTGTCGGGGTGGATCGCAGGCGCATCATCACCTGGGTCGGGGAGGAGGCAACAATGAAGAAGCTGGTGAAGGAGAAGCCTAAACTATCGAAGGCAAAATCGATTCACGCTGGTATGGCACCTACGACAGCCGAGGTCGAACAAGACCTGGAGGACTACATGAGCACGAGGACTACATGAGCACGAGTGCATTGGGGATCATGGGGGCTCCAGTGCTTGAGTTCCGGTGCGAGGTGGAGATAAAAACTGTGTCGTAGCGATTGCTTGACGAATGGGTCTATCGCTTCAACTGCGCAAAACAATCCACAAACCTTGACAGTATTCCAAACCAAGGCAAAGAACAGAACCAGTGATACAAAGTGCAACAACTGAAGTGTAACAAACATCCCCCTCCCATGTACAACGTATGTGCACGATAACACCACCACTTCCATCACTACCACCAACAACAATAACGACAACAAACGACAATGCAAACATGACCAGTCCATCCTCTTACCTGAGACTCGACCCTATTCCACCACTCCACAATCTTGAACGCCACGACCGCGGTTATGAGCAGCACCCTTCCGTACCGAGCCACCCGATCTCCAAGACTACCGCCACCGCCACCGCCACCGCCCGCACCCTCACCACTCGGCCCTCCCGCCGCCGTGGAAGCTGAAGGTTCCTGCTTAGCACAACCCAACACCAAAACCAAATTGACATGATCATCGACTGGAACAGATAGAACCGCAAGGCGTGGCCAGGTGGGTACCATGGTAGGCGGAATTGCAGAAGCCATTGTTCTGAGAGTGGCCCGAGAATAATAACAACAGCGAAAGCTAATCAACAATCGCAAACTTGGTGAGAGTGAAGAGGGTACGCCCGTTAGTCTAGCAGCAACTGTAAACTCATCATTCTCCTCCCCCAATCCCTTCCCCCAACCCTCCGTATTCACGGGGCCAGTCCTCACCACTGCTGCTGTCGCCACTGCCGCTGCCGCCGCGGCTTCAGCATCTTCCTGCCAGTCCTCTATCGTTGCGCGCCTCACAACCATGCCCGTAAGTCTCAGGGCCGGGGAGAAGAACGCCGACCGACGGAAGAGGTAGAGCCACTGGTAAACAAGGCACGACCCTTCGTACGATGCGCGTAGGAGTGGGTAGACCTGTTGGTGGATGGGCGGGACAGGTCAAGAACAGTTCCGAAAGATGAAAGGCTTGAGTTTTCTGACAGAAAAGAGACATTCTTCGCGGCAAAACGTGGGGACCGCTCCAGTACCCACTGGTGTATGACAATAGCGAGCAGCCTGGTAGCATGTGCCACCAGAAAGCGTTACCTGCAAGCGACCAGATGTCGCGAACCTGAGGAGGTGAGCTGCGGAAAACATGTTCAAAACGATGGACGAGCATGCTGCACAAAGAACGTCCAGGATATCCTGGCCAACAAAAACTTTGGGTATCGCAGCTAGTGCCAATATTTGAAAAATGGCCGCGCGCCAAAACAAGAGTAACTTAAGGGTACAACGCCATGCGTTGCTTCGGTCTGAGCCCTGGTGTTCATATTATTAGCCCTTCCTCACACCCTCTCCTGTCCTGTTCTAAATAACACCCCAACAAAAACTTGGGTTGGGCCCTAGCATAGTGTATCTACCCTTTAATTTGCACCTGAAAAAACAGCTGGCGGAGAGCGGAAAATCGTCGCCTAGCTTCGGCCCTCGCACTCCTCGCCGAGCCCGAGAAGCCCGGCCGGCTTGAGCTAGACTCCCGCGCACCCCCTCGATCGGCACCGACTCCGCCATCGCTCCCACCATGAACAGCATCATCGGTGTTGTTTCCACGATCGGAACTATTCCTCCTTGCTGATGTTGCTGCTCCGTCTACCGCTGGTTCTTCGTCCTGCGGAGTACGCCGCGGGAGGCCGATATATGCCCGAGCTGCCAAAGATCTGTTTTTCGCGGGTTAACAGCAGGTATTGGTGCTGGGTTGTGGGTTTGCGACTTGGTTGGATACATATCTAGAGCCGAATCAAGAGTGGACAGCATGCCCGTGGTTGCTTCCTTAACACGCAGTAGGACATTCTCGGCAAACCGAGAAGGCAGACCGCCACAGTCGTCGACAAAACACTGCCCGTATTCGTTCTAACAAACAAACCCGACACGCCTGGGATTATCCTCATGGATTACAGTACGAAGCTAGCGTTGAGCACGGCAAAGAGACAAAATCCATCTGCCGTTCTGTCAACCCCCTTGGAGCTTGCAAAACGACCTTCTGGGCAGATTTCTAGACTTGTGTGCCCAAAAGCAGGCAGAGGAGTTCTAGAAAGCATCAAACTACCGTCAGGCCATGGGCGCCGCACCTTTCGTGACCGGCGTCAAGCTTGGCGAAGAAATAAGGGAGAGCCGCCGCCGTCAACAGCGCCTTGCGTCTGTCTCGCGCCCGCAACCCTTGTCCTTGCCCGTAGCCGGCTCCGTTAAGGTCGAAAGCCAAGTGCGCGTCGTGCTCGGCGTCAGAGCTTGTGGGTTGGTGAGTTGGTGGCCCTGAAAACGAACACGGTGAAGACGAGGAAAAACTTCAGTTTCACGCTTCGCTAAACGCACACATGCGATGTGCTTGTTCAACCTGCTGCAAGCGGTTCTATATGCTGCTGATTTCCTCATCTCTCCCATGCTCAATCCCTCCATCGCTCTCACCAGGGGGTCCTGACTTTGGCCCGTAGCGGCAACGCCGGAGGCCATACAAACTCTCTGACAGGAGAGAACTGTGGTTGGACAGAAATTTAGCCTCGACCAAAAGAGACAACGCTAGAAAAGCTTCGTCGAACCAGGGAGAGAGGCGGTGAAGTGATGGCCAGCGAAGAGCCAGCGCGCTGATCGCAAAGAGCATCACGTGGTAGCGGCACAAGCAGAGCGGCGCGTGGTTTGATGTTTGATGCCTGCGCAGTCAAGAGTAGTGCTGGAGTAGATCATATGGTAAGCAATTACTGTTAAGTGAATAAAGGTGTGAGGTGATCACTTACTGCGGCATGGTGTTGGCGGCCTGGATTCCACTTGTGGCCTCACCTTGCCCACAAGACCTGTGCTGTATTTTATTTTTTTGTCCCATCTCTGGCGCCGCCTGCTTACTCCTCTTCGGTGCACACTACACGTTTGCCGCGTATGTGCACTTACACTTCTCAGCGTACTTGGTACACTACAACTAGCTAGACACACCGTCCGGGGTCACACAGGAGGGGGTACCCACGCCTTTTTTTTTTCTTCTTTTTANACTACACGTTTGCCGCGTATGTGCACTTACACTTCTCAGCGTACTTGGTACACTACAACTAGCTAGACACACCGTCCGGGGTCACACAGGAGGGGGTACCCACGCCTTTTTTTTTTCTTCTTTTTATCTTTTGTCCCCACCTACCTCCTGCGGTGCCTGCCTGAGATATTTTTATCGCGAAAAGGGTACAGCAATCCCTTCCCTGGCGACGGCTAAGTCGATGTCGACAATGAAGTCGATCAGTTTACTATGTAACAACGAGCTTTGCAGCGCGTCGCTTCCAGCTTAGACCAGGATTAATTTAGAGAGAAAAAACTCACAATGCCGGGACTCGAACCATGACCTGGCCCTTGGTAGGCTGCTGTATGACAGCAGTTGCGTCTGTGCAGAGTTCAGCACCTTCCCCACATAACCAACCATTGCGCGGCTAGAGATTGAACTACTTACGCATCCAATGTAAGGCGAGTATATACTCATGCAGAGCTGCTAGATATGTGGCGTCCACGATGGGGCTTTCGGGTCGTCTTGCAGGGCGCATCCTTCGTGCCATCTCAGATCTGACTCTCACCAATCTGAACTTCTCGCCCTACGCATGGCTTTCACTGGTATTGGTACCATGAGCTAGACTACTTCCGTAAACAAATGCACACAGGGGCATTCACTCTTTGTCGCCTAAAATACACTCTTGAGACAATCCAGCCAAGCTTGGGGGCGTAGTTACCTGTGCGCATGCCTCGCCGCCGGTTTGAGGCTCTGCTCAACCTGCTGGGTCATGAACATCTCGAAGAAAGACGGCAGGCTGGAGTCTGCCTCTAGAGCTGAAGAAGCAAGCATATCCATGGTGGGATAAGACTCAGCCAGCGGTACTAGCTTCTACCGAGGCTACCCGGTCGGGACGTGTGTATGGAATTCCTCCCTCTCCCCTCCCGATGAGAGCACGAGACGCGGCGATATTCTGAAATCGACCCGAAAAACGCCGCAAACCAACCCGTTAGAACTGAACCGTCGGTTACAGATTTCTCGACTCTCGACGCTAGACTCTCGATTTTTGCTCTCGACCAACAACGCGAGACACAACAAGGTCGACGCTTCTCCGTCTTGCCGCGTGATAATACAACCATGAAATGCCTCTTCACGTACGCAGGACTACACGAACTTTGTCCCGGCCATCTCCGACTACTACAAACAAAAGTGGCAAATCAAGTGCTGTCCGATGCGGCAGATTTTTGACGAATGGGAACAAGTTGGAACCTGTCGTGAAGTTTGTTTCCAACTGGACCCGGACAGCATGCCACAACAGAGTACTGACTACTGACCTCATCGTTGCGGTTCTGTGCAAATTCAGATATGTATAGACTACGCTTTGGGGTTCGATGAAATTCCACACACAACGCGGCTTTGACACACACGGGGCATGCATAAATATAGCACGTTGAAGTTCCCAGGCCACCCGAACTAAACGTGGGCGCGAGTGAATCATGGTGGAGGTCGGGAAGCTGTCTAGAGGTCCTCCCAGCGAAGCATGGGCGAGGTCACTTCGTCAAGAAACAGCTCTCCAGGATCGGTATCGCCGTGCGATTCACCATGTCGAAGGCGGTGTCGAAAACGTCGGGTTCGACAGGTAACCACATGTGCTGCTCTGCACGAAGTCTGCACAAGACACGCTAGCCTAAAAGACTACGTGCTGTAGCTTCAAGGTTGGACACCAACCCACAAAAGCATCGTCTAAGCCTACGTATATGATAACGTTCAGAGTGAACTCCAAGCACAGAGGTGTCTTCATTTATAAAACAAAGACACGTAGCTGGAGAATGGCTCGGACTACTACTGCGCTTTGCACAACAAATGTTGGCTCCGAGAAGAATCCCTGCCGAGGTGCCGTCGCCTGAGTTGCGTAGGTTATGCTAATACAGTTGTCCAGAAACAGGTTGGTCTACGGTCCCCCAGCACCGTGTGTTGGTCTCGAGGCTGCGCTAGAGGAACAATCATCGCGGACCACGAGGTGCCATCGTGGTTACACGAGTTTCCCGAAAGGCGCGTCCGACGTGTGCTCCACTTCGGTGCGGCATAAACACAACGGCACTTACCGCCAAGATCGCTATCCGTTGTTCGATATTCCCGTGCAATGCTTTGGGTGTGGAGTTGATCTCCTATAGAGCCATTTGAATAATGCAAGGTCATCGGAGACGCGAGACTTTTTGCTGATTGGCGAACGCTCTTGCAACCTACATGAGCCATTGCTTGTTGGGAGTAACCTTAGCCATCATCAATACTCAATCTACAATACATCAAACATGCCGACGGTGTGCAACGATATCAGAACGCCGTGAGCATTGCAGAAACAACAAATATCACCGACCGCGCGAGCGTGTACAGATGGAACGCTGCGCGATGCCTCCAGGATCAAGTCGACGCTGCCCGCGGCGTGGAGCACACCCGGCGCCTTGCAAAGTCGCGGGGAATCACCGCGCGGTTCACTCGGCGTTCCATGATGAAGGATTTACAGGGGTGAGAAGCGAAATGTGTGGCTTGCGGCTACGTGCGCTCACCAGGATGAAAATATCAACTTGCGTGCACTCTCAGCAGCAGAACACAAAGAAAAAGGATCACGCTCGACGTGCCTACAGAACGAAGGAATTTGTATCATAAGTTTTATCGTAGGTTCACTTCCCCATGTTTGGGCCTTATTGTCAGCGAAACACGGACTAAACTGTAGCATCTCACCCTGAATCATAGATTAAACCACCATCCTCTTGCTACCGTTGCGACCTCTGCGGTCGACAGAATATTAACCTTCCTAAACTCTCGGTCCAGGTCAAGCAGGTGCACCAGAGTGCTGTGGGCTGGTATAGTTGTCCCGCGAAAGCGTTATTCTTGCATAGTTACAAACCGCGCTTTGTTTCGTGTCAATGTTCCAGAACGGAGCTCCAGACAACAACGGATAGGCCCGACATCCAAACGAACCAGCCAGGTGGCGGAATATCCGATGACGACGCCAGCTTAACCCGAGACCAAGCCCTCGAACGATTTGGAATTGATCTCAGCCAGGTAGGTGTGATGACGTCATCACGAACCGCATCCCGGCAGGCGCTACCCCCCGGTGAAGGTTGCGATGAAGTCGGCAATAACATCGGAGTCGAGCGGGGAGCTGCTGCTGCAAGTGCAGGCGGTGGAATCGGACGGGGAAAAGAGGACAAGTCCGTGAACAGAACAGGAGTTGGGCGAGGTATCGGGGGAAATATGACCAGCCCAACGGAGGACAACAGAATCAGCCGAAAGGAGGCGGCGGTAAGGAGGCAAGAGGTAATATCGGAGAAACTGAAGGTACTCGACGTGCTCCTTTCGGACGAAATCCCTCGTCCACCTCCCGCAGAGGAAGATGTGGAGAACAAGGAGGAGGTGGCCAAAGTGGGCGCGCAACAGGGCGAGAGTGTTGCATACGAAAAAAATGGTGCCGACAAAAGCAGCATAGCTGCTTTGTCAATCAAGGAGGCACCCTCTCACACGAAGCCCGCCAAAATTGGAGGAAATTTTCGTGAAGAACTACTGCCTGAAACCCGAAAAGAGGAACTTGTGGCGGAACCTGACCCTAGGCACACACCACACGAAGAGGGAGGAGGTGGAGGACCTGTAGTAGACATACTCGAAGCTACCACCCTGGACAAGGCCCGAGCGAACGAGGTCGATGACACGGATCAGCCCCATCTTTGTGAGAAGGCCCTTCCCAATCATAGGTGTGAGGGAGAGCAATGTAGTTATCTGTCAGCTTGTGCTTCGCAGCAACCCCCCCCCCGAACAGCAACCAGTTTCTGACCTTCTTGCCTCGTCTCGTTCGCTGCGGTGAGTAGCGCTCCTAGTTCGTTTTCAACTATCGTTCTGTTGCAAAATGACACTTGTGGACGCTGCAAACATCACTCACAACACCAGGCCATGCTGGTGGTGGGCTTCTCTACTTCCGACGGACGTGGAGGATATCTGCATTCCTGACACGGTTTTCTCGGCGCCGGCGCGAGTATCTTCCAGATGCAGCAATACGGCAGTACCGGAGGTAGCAGTTGCACCAGATCAAACGAGCCGCCGCCAAACCGCGTCGGTTTCTCAGCACCACGGAAAGGGCTTGCTTTGGGCCTTCTCGAGGGCGGAAGTCATCATCTCTGATGAAGTTAACAACGTAAACGACACAAGAACGAAATTGCGTGGAGGTTTGTTGGCAGTAGAAGACAAGGATAGCGGCGGCGGCACAATGCCGCCTTCCCCTTCAGTGGAAATCCGCGGTAGAGGGGCAAAGATTGGTCTCAGTACGCATCACCATCCCCTTAAGGGACGACCACCAGTTCAACATCGACTACACACCAGGGCTATCGACGGCAGGGACGGTTTGTTATGCGCCGCGCGGGCAATATGCGAATGCGGGAGACGAGGAGGAGGAGGAGGAGGATGGGCAGGGGGAGAAGGGAGAGTCGACGGCAGTGACTGGGCGCGGAAGGGGGAGGGATCCAAGCTCACACTCCCCCTTGCTTTATTGAAGATTTGGGGCTACGAAAGCGACGAGGAAAAATGGCGGAAAAGTCGAGGAGGGAATTGTCGAGGACGACGACTGACGGTGGTGAGGCCATCGCTTCTGTTCATCGCACGTACATCCGTGTCTCCGCATGCGACGTTGTCTGGACACTATCATCAGCAACCAATTTTTTGTTTGACGTTTCCCGATCAACGGTTGTGCTTTCAGACGGACTTAGTCAGACTATTTCTGATCAGCGAAAAATCTAATCCAGCAAGTGGGGGAATTGCATTCCAATATCTGGCCTGACGTCTTTTCTTCGTTACTTCATGCAAAAAAAATATACTTGACTGTCAGGATGAAAGCTATCGGGCCACCGGCAGTTCTACAACTGCCAATCCACACGCTGTTGTCCATGCATCATCAATGAAAGAATCGTGTCCACTATTGCTTACGTCCCAATCCTTCCAACCTAATACTGATCGGCTCACACAGGTATCCCTTTGGACAGAGACCGAAGTGCTCGAAGCCCTAAGAGACATGGCCAGGGGCAGGTGGTGTCCACCCCACATTCGTGGAAACGCCAACACCAAGGCAAGCTGCGCCCAAATTGACCAGACGACGCCCACGGGCGGCGGTGATGTCACTTCTCGCGTCCCTAGACGGGGGGAACATCCGATTCAGACTTTCAAGATACCCGTAGGCGACGAAGACGCTTGCTGTGTGCAGGCCTTCACGAAGAGCAGGTCATACAGCGCCGACAGACGAGAGCATCAGCCCCGTGGCGGCGTGGAAAATCTACGTTCGAATGATAGGGGCGAGCATAGTCGATTTAGGCGTGAACGAAGACCGGGGACAGTGGTGGTGGAGGCGGCAGAGGATTATTGTTTGGGCGGGCCGGTGTTTTACCGAGCAGCGTGGAGAAAGACGGGGAAAAAACTATTTTTGTGGAAAATAAGGAGCCGGTGCGTGTTTTTTTTTCAAGCGAATCATTTTCCTCTGATTCGCGCCCCAAGTTCGGTCAAAGTTTTGCTATTTTTCGTTCAGCAAACACGTCCGCCGTCGGCCACATATAGTCGCGAGACAACACGGGCATTAAATATGTTGTTCTTTCTTCTCGGGCCCTTGCACGCGTACACACTGTAGGACAACAGCGAAAAACGATGCCCCTACTGTTGATGGGGACCAACCCGTACGTCGACGACGATCGTTCAGCTTTCGGCTCAGCCCTACCCCTTGCCTACGTAGGCTGCCCTTTGTTTTCGATATCACCACATCACCACTCAATCGTTGTCGCGTGTCGTACAGGTATCCGTATGTGTCCAACGTGTCAGCGCACTTCTGTCCTTTGGTGAGGGTAGGCTCGGCAACTCCGTTCACAGCTACAGAGGTGGAGGAAGGGGTAGTTGCGACAGCGGCAACTAAGATGGAAAAGCTTACGACGGTGAGCTGCTTAGGTAGTTCAATGGTGAAAGGTGTACATCGTACACCGGCGTACACCGGCGACAGAATGTCTTGCTGGCACTGACGCGCTTCGATGTTGAGAACCGTTAAAGTACGGAGACCAAAGCATGAGAAACACAGCACAATCGGACGACTACTTAACGATTCTCTCAGCGCTAGCGGCCAACATCACAATAATGGCCTCGTCGACTGTATCCACGAAGAAAACGGAGTATTCTACCGTGGGTGTGAGGACTACACATGCAGCCCGACTCATGTTGGGTTGAAAAATAAAACAGGTCCTTCAAAAGGCGTACGATCCGACTCTGCAGCGACTGTGGGCGGACTGGGCGGTACATGAAGACGATGGGCAATGGTATCTCGTCGAGGTGCGAAAATTGGTGGCTAGTAGGAGGTGTAGGGTGTTCATTATGTGTGTCTCAAAAAAGACTTGTTGACGCGTCGAGACCCTCCAGCGTAGTGGGGGGTTTCCCCGGTGACGCAACCAAATCAGTTCCTCCTCAGTTTTCTTTCGAACGACCAATACAGGGGGGCGCATATCGAGGATGCCTCCTGTTTTATGATGGTGGCAGTCGTTATGACTGGCTCCGGTGGAGTTATCTGGACAATGGGAATACAATCAAACTTGTCGAGAGCACGCTGCGTCCCACTGTTGTGTCCTCCAGGCCAGGTGTGAGCCAAGCGCTATGCATTGTTTGTGCGATGGCGTCACCTTGAATCAATACAGGGGGAGTCGTGTCCCTCCCTGTTCTTGCCTAGCTCCTTCCTCGTCTGGTTCGCCATTTCTAAGCCTTTTCCTCCTTTTCTCGCGAACAGGTCCATGGTGTGAAGACCGAGGCCGACCTTAGAAACGCTGCCGTGGCAAAGGCAGTACCGCCCGCTTTTGCAGAGGTGGAATCCAAGGTGAAACATTCACTGTCTGATACAACTCACCGGTCAACGCACGTTATTGTCAACGCAGCAATATAACACTAGGGGCGTTCTTTGATGCGTGCGATACAGAGCCCCCCTCCCCTCAGCTCGTCATCCTTGCCGATGAACAAACGGTACGATGCGGAAGGAGGTTGAACCCAACGTTTGACACTTGTCACCGCCTCATCGTCGACGTATTTCCGAAGAGTACCAGTTCGGACATCTGGGTGACAGAGTTTCCCCAGTCTGGGAGAGAATCTATTGTACGATACTGTCCAGGGGAAAGGGGGAAGGCCAGATTGCGAGGGCGATGCGACAGAAAAATGTGTAATCTACAACTCTTTCCTTGATTACCGACCCACCTTGGGCAGGTGAGTAGAAGCACCCGCCGCATCCCACCGAAACACATTTGCGGCGACCCGGACGAGCTAAGAGCGCGAGTTTCTGCGGCGGGCCCCACGCAAGAGCTATCCTTCGTCGAGGTACGCAAACTCATATTGAGCACCGCGTGTTCATGGGCGGTACGCGGATGTTGGCTTGAGCTATCGTTTCGACGAATATCTTGCGGATTTCATGGGGTCAGTGGAGGACCTGTGAGTTGAGGACTACATCATTTGTCCAACCCAACCGATGTTTTCATTACCCCCAGAGCAACCCCCGCTCTTCAAGTGTCGACCCCCGCATTTCGGCCGTCGGCCTCTCCCTGTCCTGTGCATCATGAACCTGAACAGCCTTCGAAGAAGATGATTGCGGTCGCAGAGTCCAAGCGCCGCCCAAGCAGGCCGCCAACTCCCTCAATGGTTGCTGAAAGCACGAAGAAGGCGTTATTGTCGCGGAGAGAAGGAGCATCAAAGCGAAAGAAATCGGTACCGAAAGGGGGCGATGGAGGAGCACGTCGAATGCTCAACCAATACTGGAGGTAAGAATTGTCGCTTACCATGACGGGTCAATATCGCCAAACAGGCCACCAGAGTTCCATCCACAACGAACGGGTTGTTGTACATAAATACAACCATGGTCGCCTTGTGGCTTTGCCATCTAGCTGCTGGTACTGAGCAGTTAGTGCTCGAGTACCTGAATGTTGAGATCGATTTTCACAACTGGTTCTGAAGATCAACACGACGAATTAACCAATGCTGGAATGTGTCGGAATCGGTTGTGTTCACGGAACACCGGAACGTGAATAAACACAACTGTTCAAGAATTGATGAATAACATGGGTGATGTTGCTGTTGGACGGACAACCAGATGTGCCGGTGACTTCTGCGAAACTCACCCTGGTGGACAGCGTCAAGCGTCTGCTGACGCTACGGGGGACAAGAAAAGCAATCTTGACAAAGTCGAGACGGCTTCTTTGGTGGTATCTCAACCATCGGAAAGGGACCGCGGGAGGCCTGTGAGAAATCGTGGCTTGGAGGGGGGCTGTGAAAAGTCAAGCACTGGCGGTGGAGATGGACGAAACGGAACGGAGTGCAAGGAGGACGATATCGTGGGGAGAAGAAAGCACGCCTTGTCCGTGGAGACCCCTCGGACAGTGCTCTTTCGGCTGGTGGGTTGTTTCCGGGTTGTGTCAAGCTTCTGATATTGTCCACAATACTGTCGTGAAATACGATCAAATTCGTGTTCATGTGTCCGTATCACACCCGCCTGGCGAATACCCCTATCGCCCTACACAAATACTACTGAAACTGTGAGGAATCCCGACAATACTCTCACCTGTCTCGGCCTAAATGGCGAGGAAGGTGTGCATGGGCATCCCAAATGCGATAATAGAGGTGCACCTCATAGTTAAGACTGAAATGGCTGTGTTGTGGGCGGAAACCAAACCTTTTCCGGACAAGAAGGACATCGGGGGTGCATGGAACCACAGCAGCAGTACCTCTGCCATTCGCGGTAAAAAGTACACTTACTACCCACACGAACCCCGCCGCTCTTCTGGACGAACTCCCGTACCCCACCTACCTCTACTTTTGCAACAGGTACTAAACGCGAGGGCAGCCCTCTTACGATGGAGACCATCCGCTGCTGAGTTCTCTATGATGGAGAAGCCGGTTCAACTCTGCTCCGTTTGCTACATGGTTTGCAGCACGATCGAACGAGAGCGAATTGAGGTGCTATGCCGTCCCGCATCTGTCTTCTACACCCACAAGTCCGTCAACGAGTAGGTAGTTTTGTTCTGATTCTCCTATTTTGTCCAAGCGATGGTCCGATGACGAGTGACATGCATGAACACCAAGAGCGGGGAAGGTAGACGAAGATAAGTCAACTGGGGACGTAAGGCATAGTACAACAGGCGAAAACCTGTTCCAAATTTAAGCATCTCTCCATGCCTTCCCAAACGCCCGACGTCATCACCTCCTTCTGTGCACCCGTCGATTTCGGACTGCATAGACCACGCGGAGAGCCATGGATGCCGAAGAAGAGGCTGCGAAAGCTGGGAAAGCTAGACGGAATCGCAAGCCACCGGGCTGGAAGAGCCGAGTACAGGTAGCCTACAAGCCAACCGCTGAACGGTAGATACGGTAATGACCCTTTGCGTGCTGCGGGTACTGTCGGTGCGTTGTTCTCACGATTCTTCCACGGCCTCTGAGAGAGTGCTTTTTCGATTGCATCTTTTCTGGGTCTCGAAATAACAACATTTCAACAAGGTGTACGAAGTGTCTAGCCCCAGATACCCCTCCACCCACAACCGCTTTTTCCTCTGGAACAACTTCTTATCGACAGCACGAGCTGGAGGAGTCTTTGAGCGCCGACCGGCACGTGGTGTCCCGCCTCATAGATAGCTTTGAAGCTGCCGCCGCCATCGCCATGGCTGCTGCTGCTCCAAATGGGGAGAAAATCAAGAGGGCTTCGTCCTCGTCCTCGTCCAAAATTTGTGGAAGCAACAACTACAAAGAAGTGCGAAAAAACGGCGAAGGAAGAGGAGAGAGAGGCGGTCGCGGGGAATCGGTCGTAACGTGGGCGGATAGGTATCCGGTAGCGGAGATTCGCCGGCAGGAAGAGAACGGGGAGGATGCGTGTGGGGAATCAATGCTTGCCAAGACTGGTGGTGTCTCTCATAGTGCGCACTCAACACCAAGAAGGAAGGCTGCAGGTGCTGGTCGGACCTCACTGGGACCATCCAAAAGTAGGAGTAAGACGGCGCCGTTGGCCCACTCCTCGGGTCTGACAATACCACCACTAGTTCAACAAGAGAGTGGTGAAGAAACGCCGCCGATTGTCGTCGGTCTCGACGCCAAACGAACCCAGAATCGGAAAGAAAAAGAGCAGCGTCAGATACAGCCGAGCCGTACGAAGCTGCAAGTGCGGGCGCGTAGAAAAGCCAAAGAGCGGGCACGAAGGCAAGTACGTAGCAAGGCGACGGATGGTGCTGCGAGAAACGAGCCATTTGGGAAGCAGAGGGATGGTAAGATTTCGGTGGAAGACGACGGGAGAGCGGGGAGCACACCTGGTGACCAGAAGAAGATTGATCCTGACAAGTTTCCACCGTTACTGCAGCCGACGGCACCAACCGCGCTGCTACGGGAGAGAGCTGAACCTGGGGAAGACACCCCTGCGGGACGCATTGAAGGCCCAGATGGTAGAGGGGGGGGGGATGGGGGCGAGGTAGAAAAGTTCGGGCGAGGCACGGGATCGTTCTGTGACGACGTAAAGACTAGTTGCGAAGACGCGGAAATCGTCAGTGGGAGTGAAATCGCCAGTCGCGGTTCCGGCTCTGGTGAGGCCTGTATTGGGTACTCGGCACAGCAGCTGCAGCAACTACTAGAGCCAACAGCACCGGCGGTGAATTGGGGGCATGAAGGAGAGCAACAGCAGATGGAAAAGGAGGAGGCGCAGGGGGGGGGGAGAGCTCGGGTAGCCAGAGATTGCGAGAACTCAGACTATGGAGAAGAGGACTTCGAGAAGGATTTTGAAGCCAATGATTACGAGGTAGCACCTGGAGGGAAACGGGGTAGCAGTGGCGAGACACCTGGGTGTACGACGGAGGCTGTTGTTGGAGATAACGCAAGCTCCGAGTATGGAGAGGAAGAGTTCGAGGAAGAGGCGGGCTGAATGTGGTTGAATCTTGCGTCTACTACTGTCCACCTGTCGTCTTTCTCTATTACGTACCGAGTTGAAGATCGATAGGCAGCGAATTCTACTTTCGAAGTACCAGAAGGTGTGGAAACCTGGATATAGGTATCTTCCTAACGGTACTGACGCACATACAACCAGTGAAGATCGGAGTCAGGGACCTTGGCTCATAACGGAGCAAGGGTATTCTCAAAGGTCGTTGTTGTAGCTAGGGAGAAAATAGCCTGTACCTTGCAAGATAAACCACTGGAACTAACTGTTGCTCGCCCCAAACTCACCGAACGCATCACGATGCCATCAACCGCCTGATCTCTGTGCGACAAATGCCGCTCAGAACAGTTGCAGAATCGAGGCAATGTAATTCCTCAGAAAAGTACAACGGGGAGACCGCCTGTCGCCTGACTTTCCTAGTCGTAACAGAATGTGAAAAAGGAGATGAGGGCACTGCTGTACGTAGATACTATTCATCTACGTACCGCCAAAACGTCCCACGGTTTATAAGGGGCAACACGCACATCGAAAATCAACAAAAAACGCAACCGTTTGATAGTTCGTGGGGAAGGTCGTCGGCCTTAGACGGCGACGACAGCTGGCTGTGGCAGTACATCTCCTGCTTGCCCCTGCCCAACAGAACACGGGGGATGGTTTTGAGATAACTCCTCGTCACAGTAAGTATCGAACCCTTTCGTTGCTTGATTTACGTGACTTGTACGGGAAAATAATTGCGAGTAGAATTGTCCGTTGGTAAACCTTCTCTCTTGCTCACCACTAGCTAAAAACGAAAGCAATTCTGAATAGGAACAGCTGGCCACCACGCTTGTACCATGGTTGTCACTTAAGCTACTGCGGCAATTGCTTTGGTAGGCCTTTCGGCTAACATGGCATAAGAGCTTGTGTTCTCTCCTCGGTCGGATAGACTCGATAAAGCCTCACTTCGTGAAGCACCGCGCTCAAGGCTTGCTAAACAAACCAGCGGTCAGTATTCACTCTAAAGTCATCGGTACACCTTCATCATAGCGATCACACAGCGAACGCAGTATCGCAGCTATGCATAGTGTTGACGTTGTTCGTGTTCGCCATGTTCGCTGCCGTGAACGCTCGGGTTAGCGCTGTATTTTTCTGTTGCCCCCATCTTCACCACAGCCACTACCACCACCATCATCCCTACCCCTGACGCCATCGTCCTTGCCGTCACCACCACCGCCATCCCTGGTAACCGGAAGCGACCTGAATTCCATTATTAACCTTGGAGTTCCCTTGCTACAAGCTGTCTGGCCTAGTGCTACAATTGCTACGTGTCAGCTCAGGTGGGGCGTCTGCCGTCGCCGCCGCCGTGCCGCCTCGCTGAAGAGCCACCGAGAACACAAACTCGCGCAAGGTGGCGAGGCGAGCTGTCACCAGGGTCTTTAGGAAATAAATTTGACGCCGCAACGTACACCCGCCGAACAGAGGTCCACAATGCACCATTAGTCGGAGTCAGATAGACGCAGAAAGTTACACGAGCTAGATGCATCACCGACATACAGTCTGACGTGTGGTACAGCAAGCAACGGAGGGTCTTTGTCATTCTCGTTTCAGGAGGGATAATGGCGTTACATTGTCGACAGAGGAGGTGGGGGTGGGGGGCAGTCGTCATGTTGTTTGATGATTGATGGCGGCATGCATCGTCGGCGATTGTTGAAATACCCGGGGGGGGGCACTCGTTATGAATTTAGAGTGTCCCATGGACGCTCGCATCATGTTTAGATTTGATTGACCTACGTCTGGTACTTCACAGGCAAGTTATGGGGTATAGGGGGTGGAGGGCGACGCAAAGACGAAAAAATGACCGAGAAAATGGGCTGGAGCCTGTGCATGTGGTACAACTGTCCGTCTACGCTCCTTTCAGCGTCCAACGTTCATGTGAATGTCAGGATCAGCGTTAATTAGAGCCCTCCCTCTCTCTCTCTCTCTCTCTCTCTCCTCTCTCTCTCTCTTCTTCTTCTTCTTCTTTTCTCTACCCTTCTCCTTCCCGGTCGGCGTATGCTCGGGGGTTTCCAAGCATTCCGTTGTACACTCCGTCTACGCCTCCGTGATGGAACGAAACAGCACTTACCGATCTTCCCAAATCACAGACCACACGAAAATGGATGCAGTCAGACCAGTTGAAGCGGAGCTGCTGCCAGGGAGGGAAGCAACTACTGTAGTCATTGGGTCGAGCCCACTTGAATGAACTACAGCGTGGATGGCACGTGCGAATATACCACGTCCTACGGTAGACTAGTCTAGCAGCATCATACCTGGTTTTTCTTGAGTTCAGTCCAGCCGAGCATCCCGCTGCCGGTCACGTCCATAACCTGTACCATCAAAATGCGGATTAAGCGTGTCGTTATCACCATGGTTGTGTTAAGGATCTCCGCAATCACTGGTCTACGGAGGAAAATCTGTGCAGCACAATGTCTGGTTGAACCGTGCGTTCAACAGGCGACTTACTTCAGAAGGATGTCAAGGTACCAAAGGCGCGCTTATGTTTTGCGACCTCGCTACTCACGGCTACAAGGTCTCGGGTAACGTCCTTGACGAGGGTTTCCACCACCGGTTCCATGTCCGGCCTCAAGGAGCAGTTATCTGGAGCCTCGGCTATCGCCTCACTTACGGAGTCTCGCACCTGTCTCCACAACAAAAGAGCAACGCGAAACGATATGTCACAACAACAAAAATATACACCAGCACACTGAAGCACGCAGCAATCCGATGGACCACCTGTGCGTGGTTTTGGCATCAATTTCCCTACCCTACGCTTGTCACCAGGGGTGCCGTAATGGCAACACACCCTCCTACGGTGGACAACCCCAGTGGTACATTCTGGAACCTTCCACAAGTTATCGCTATCTTCATATGACTGAATCCGCGGTTTGAAAGTCAAACTACAAAATCACCCTCCCACTTGTGGACTAGGGGGGTATTGGTGATCTCGTAGCGACGCTTGATCGCCTCTCGTTCAAGATTTTGTCGCCACTGACCGGAGATTATAGCGCAAGTATAGGAGAGCGACGACCAATAAACGTTCAGGAAACATGCACCAAACAAAGTGTCCGTGCGACACAAATAATGCAAAATCACGTGCATACCATCATGGTCATCTCAGTTGCGGTGATGCTGCCACTGTGATCGTCATCATAACGGCGGAACACCTTCAGGAGTCCACCGTCATACCCGACATTCCCTGAAGGCAGTGGCGAAGACATAGTCCCATCAGTGCGTCAAGGAACAAAGGGAGACAATACAAAAAAGTTGCTCGCATAGTACCGTTCTTGACAACGTCATGGTCGCGGGGTGATGATTGTTTCGCCTGCTAGAACATGACCAACACCATTTGCTGACAGCCAGGCCACGATTGTAAGCACGGTCGAGCTCCGCATAGCTACGCTTCTATCGTGCGTAAAGGTGCATACAGGACCATACGTTTATCACCGGGCGAGAGCGTGAAATACTGGGCGATGTCTCCTGGAAACCTTCCACCAAAAAACGTCACGTTTCAGGCCTCATCCCCAAACCCTTTCCTCCCCACATCAGGATCACTCGCGTCGCAAATGTTGGAAGCAGTGGGGTACTTCGGAAATGCCTGCACTGATCATCGTGTTGATGGCGTGTGCTTGCCTGTTCCCTCTTCCAGCACGGCTGTGAAGCGCATCCATTCTATGCGATTGATCACACCGTCCTGGCTCTCGTCGATGTCGTTCGCCGTTTTCTTCAGGTCAGCGACAACGGATGGAAACAAGAGGAAAGAACAACGAACGAAAGCATGGTCAGCGAGGGGGTTCGGGGGGGGGGCACACGCTTGTGTGGTGGTGTGATAGCTCATCTCGACGTGTGCCCGCTAACTTCACCGACCTTGCCAAGGACAGGTGCACTCCCACGGGTGTTTTCCCACGTTGGAGTGTATTTCACGTTGTTGATGAGGACGGGGAGGATCGGTCGTGCTCTTTTCACTGCTAGTCTCAAGTCAAGGCCTTTGAACTGTTACCACAAATCCCTTGTGAGACCGAGAATGGGAAGGTGACGCACAGCGGTTTCACGCACGCGCGCTGCTGCAATGACATGGTTGGTCGTGAAGCGAAAAGGGAACCAGCTTCGTTCACCAAACTTAAGCAACGCTGTAATTTACAGGATGTTTTGGGTCCACCAACATGAAGGTCTGACCGCGCCAACACGAACATCTGGCAGCAGGCATAAACGACAAAGTCCGTGAACAAGTGTTATGCTGTCTTAGTCTCCAGGGACTCCTAGAACCAACAACACTGCCGTCCTACAACGACGAAAAGAGTAAGTATCGGTGCCATCCGATTGTTTCTTTTGTTCAGACCGTACCGTATTGGATGTATAACCCGCAGGACCAGTCACCCCTTTACCACCATCGAGTGGCCCGGGCGCTCAACTAGATTCAACACAGCTTCTGGTAGCCGTAGACGTGTTCTCAACGCCCACACCCCGCATTACCGGTAAAAAAACAGTCAACTCTATATCTGGTACTTCTCACGTCGGATCGTTTCACTTGCATACTCTGTGGTTGTCCTAAACCACCCAAGTTGCTACCGCTTTGAAGTGCCCAAACACCAATATCTGTCGACCTCTACGGAGAATCGACCGCATCGCATGGGTGTACCTGAACAGTAGCTTCCGGCGGCTCTTCCCCCCCCGTCCCTCCACTGAGCCACAGCAACGCCTGTCGTGGTAAATTGGGCACGAAACACATCTCACACATTAAACACCAACCGACGCCTTCTAGGACCTGAAAAAATACACTACTGCTGTGCACACGGAGTATGCAAAGCCAGCGACTAGCCTGTCTCTGCCGCCTTACGTAAAAAAATACATGTAGTGAGTGAAGGGCTAGCTCCATGCTTGAAGCGATCCGGTCGTTGAGACCCCGAAACTTAGTGCACCGCTTGTGGTGGTCTTGTTGTTTCGCTGTCAAGGCGGACGCCGTGGAGGGTGGTTTGTGGTGGTGTTTCTGTTTCGCTGTAAAGGCGAAAGCCATAGAGGGCTAGCTCCATGCTTGAAGCGATCCGGTCGTTGAGACCCCGAAACTTAGTGTCTCGTGCAACTTTTCTTTCATCCACGCAATCCAAACGCTAAGTGGGATAACCGCAACGTATTCTCGCCTGCCAAAAGAAGTAGTGAAATTCGACACTTCCATGTGCACTGCTAGCAGTGTCGTGTTGCAAGAATAACGCCGGCCGGGTGTCGTCCCACTCTACCGTGTATGTACCTTCAAGTCCCCCATGCTGACGCTTCCAACGCCGTCCTCGTCGATCACGCTGAACGCCACCCAAAACCTCAGGAGCTCTTCCAAGTCTTCCACATCGACGCGTTCACTCTATCATTGTTATTTGGTTATTTCCATGTTTGTTGTTGGTTGGTTGTTGGTTGTTGTATATTGCTTATAGTTGTACAAAGTCGAGTCCTCGAGTTTTCGTTCACAAACGGCAGAAGTAGGACACAAGAAAGGACGAGCAAAAAACGATAAAATTGCACGAGCCCATGGGAGGCTGTCTCTCTTAGTGCATGATGTTGCTAGGGGAGGTAAGTTAGTTAGCTCCCTTTTGCTAATGCCGTTAATGTTACGACCAAGATGAGGACGACGAAAGCGGGAAACGGAAAGGACAAGGATTACAACAACAACCACCGTCATTCCCAGCAGTCACCCCAAAGAACGCAAGAGCGTCAACGACGACGGCAATGTCACGCTTGCAACTTACCCGTCCCCCTGTAGCCCCAGATTTCCCCGAAAGCATTCGAACGACCGCCGCCGCATCCGCTTCGACAACTGCCTCTAACCCCGCCCTCAGGCACTCCGTTTTACCCAACGTAGTTAAAGACCGAAGTATCTCTCCCGCCCGTGCCCCGTCCACCGTGCCGTCTGTATGCTCCCCTGATGAGTCGTCCTGGTGTTACCGGTAGTGAAGCGGAGAAAGTGAGCGGGGGAGGAGGGGGGGATACGGATGCGTTGATTGTCTAGATCGTCTGACCAACCATGATATATCTTCGAACGTGGAACAACGTCCCTACTCCTTCTAAAGACACCGCCAACACTCGAGCGTTCTTTTTCTGGCCTAGCACACACAGAAATTCTTGCTCGTCTTGTTCTCGTCATTAGCATATCATGGCCAGATTTTTCTAACACAAGGGGTGTGTTTACAATGCTCCCTGAAGAATCAAAGTGGAACTCGACACGTCCGTCCGTATGCCTCATATCCTTCTCAAGGGCGTTCTTCCATTGACAAAAAAAAACTTTGGTGTGCGCTTGGTAGAGAGGGGGGAGGGGAGAATCGGCCTCCATTCTTGATCACTCCGCAAAACGTGTGATATTTGCACAGGTCCGTTCTGTAGGGTACTCACAGATCGGTACCGGCGGTATTTTCCCTCTGTAAGTACCGACAGATCACTAAAAAGAAGATCTGTCAGACCCCAGTACCCTACAGAGATTTCACAGATAGTTCGGTACTCTCCCCAGTATCTACCGAGATTTTACAGACTGTTCGGTACTCTCCCAGTACCCTACAGATATTTCACAGAACATTCGGTACTCGCCCAGTACCCTACACAGATTTCGAAGAACGTTCTGTATTCTCCCAGTACCCTACCGAAAAGTTCTGTGAGACCCCAGTACATACAGATATTTTACAGAGGAGTTCTGTGAGACCCCAGTACATACAGAGATTCTACAGAAAGTTCGGTACTCTCCCAGTACCCTACCGGTGCACTGCGTTTTCGCTCCAAATGACAACAACGGAGGCTTAGTGCTGCGTAGCTACGGCGGTTGATTGTTGATTCTGTTGTTGTCGTTCTTCGCGGTTTTGATTGCTGTACCTCTGAGTGGAGGAGGCGCCAAGGCAACCGCAGGTCAGGTGTAGTCGAACTGTTTTTTTTTTTCGTGTCAGCTTCATTAATTATAGTTAGTTGATGAGGAAGACCAATGGTGGCGCCGCTGTAGGGTGGGGTAGAATCAGAATGCACGGAGCCACGTTGATCTCGGAGTATAATATCAGTTCAGTATTGTGTTTCATGCGGTGCAGACGTCCTTTTGTGCGGTGCAGGACGTGATGTCCTGTGACGCTGCTACTATCGGGGTAAGTACCGGGTTCGTCTGTAGGTACGTTGTTTGTGTACCATACAGAGGAGTTCTGTGAGACCTAAGTACCCTACAGAGATTTCACAGATAGTTCGGTACTCTCCCCAGTATCTACCGAGATTTTACAAAAAGTTCGGTACTCTCCCAGTACCCTACAGAGATTTCACAGAACGTTCGGTACTCGCCCAGTACCCTACAGAGATTTCACAGAACGTTCTGTATTCTCCCAGTACCCTACCGAAAAGTTCTGTGAGACCCCAGTACATACAGAGATTTTACAGAGGAGTTCTGTGATACCCCAGCACATACAGATATTTTACAGAGGAGTTCTGTGAGACCCCAGTACCCTACAGAGATTTCACAGAACGTTCGGTACTCGCCCAGTACCCTACAGAGATTTCACAAACAGCTCTGTAACTCTCCCAGTAACGTACAGAAGTATCAGTACCCTACAGAACGGACCTGTGGATATTTGAAAACTCTTACACTCCTTCATACGGTGAAATTTACC